TGGAGCATTTAGTCCATTGACGTTTAAAGTAGCTATTGATAAGTATGTACTTACTGCCATTTTTTAACTTTTTTTTTTTTCTCAGTGTTTTAGTACTCCTTCTCTGTTCCTTACTGAGCAAGTTACTTAATGTTCCTGTTTCTTCATATGTAAACTGGGATTATAATAAATAATGTTATCTACTTCATAAAGGTGTTGGGACTATTAAGTGAGATAATGCATGAAAACTACTTAGCATCATACAATTGTAGTCCTTTCCACTGTGCACTGGGCTAATTAAAACAAAAAAAATTTTTTTTTCTCCCCAGGCTATTAAAGAAGCATTTGGATACTTTTCTTAAAGGCGAGAGTGGACTGAGGGTATTTTTTCCTCTTTGTGGAAAAGCAGTTGAGATGAAATGGTACGAGCAGATAAGCATTAACACAATTTCTTATTTTGATGATAAATACTTTGGGTGAATATTTAACAGGGATATAGGTTAAAAAATTCCATTCTCAGGAAATGCACAGGGATTCCTTATTCTTAGTAGACTATTACTAACAGGTTCATAGAGATAATATTCTCAAAAAGTAAGACACAGCAGAAACAGAGGTGCGACCTAGTCTTTCTGTATTGAGTTTCTAAGAAAAAGAATTAGTTTGGAACCAATGGTGGTGTTGAGGGGGAAACCATCCTTCCCTCTTACATCTCCTACATCTTTGTGCACACTTGAGTTTTTGTAGGTGGTTTAGGAATTTAGCTAAGTTAATTTTAGATATTTTAAATAGAGATGGACAGAAAAATTCAAAATGAATTACAGCTGTTTGGCAAGACAGCGTGTATAGTCCACAGTTCAGCTCAACTCTCTCCTCCCACTAAGAGCACCTTGGAGTTTTTGTTTTCATGAATCATTGTTATAAAACCAGTGTTGAAGAAAGTATTTCTTGTGAGTAATTCTCTGTGAAGAGAATTCGTTTTATTAACAAGCCACTATTACTATGGGTTACACTAAAGTCACAAGCCTGGCAATCGTTTCTTTGCAGAAGTCTGTGTGTAATGATAATGTACAGACACTATCATACATGCCAAGACATCCATTAATTTATAAGCTTGCATGTTGAGAACTTTGATCATTAAGCAGGAAAAGAAAAATAAAAAGTATGTATGAAAAAATTATTAAATGAAAAATATAGTAACTTAAAAATGCTGTGTTCCCTATATAAATATAGGTGGCCAAACCACAGAACATGTGTGCATTTGGAACAGAGACGGTGGCATTTTTGCAGCCAGCCCACACTCTCTCAGCTTGTAGCTGAGAGCACTTGTGAAATGGTTGCTGTGGCGTAAGATTCTAGTGTGGCCATGAAACTGAGAACATTTAAACTATGTTATGAATGTATACCCTTACCAACTCACTGAACCAGAAGAAAGAGTTACTTGGGAAACTACTTGCAAGAAAAACATTAACTTTATAAACAGATTGCCTTATTGTCATGTCAGTTCAGCTCTAGCAGAGGTTTTAAGACAAGATTAGGAAATGGTATGATAAAACAGCCAGTTAAATGTGATTGTTGAATATTTTGGGTCTGAGGTCATTCGTAATAAAAATATCGGAACTAAGCCACTATAATTGCATGTAAATTATATTAGAGAGTTTTTCATTTATGTAACTAATTTGTATATTGAGGTCTTTGCAGATATCAGATATGAATAGATAAACTATGAGCCGAGGCCCAAAAGCATTAAAATAAAATGTTTAAGACATTTTCTTAGGGTTTTTTTTTAAGAGCAATATATTCCCATATAATCTAGCCTATGCCAGTATATAGTAGGCTATGCTTCATTTTTCCGTATGTTAAATGAAATAAAAATCCACGAAGCTGGTTTGGGTGACTTTTTTGTCTATATTTTGTAACTTCAAAAAATATATGGAGGGGCCAGTCTGGTGGCACAGCGGTTGGGTTCGCACATTCCACTTTTGCGGCCCAGGGTTCGCTGGTTTGGATCCTGGGCATGGACCTACTCACGTCTCATCAGGCCATGCTGAAGCGGCGTCCCACGTAGAAGAAGTAGAAGGACCTACAATTAGGATATACAACTATGTACTGGGGGCTTTGGGGAGAAAAAAGAAAAAAAATATATATATATGGAGAATAAAAAAAAATATGTTCCCTGTGTGTTAACTTACAAATTTCCTAGGAAATATGAAAGACAAGTTATGACTATGTTTATTTTAGAACTATAAATAGTTCATGCGCTGACCACATTGAAAGTGTGTAGTCTTGTGTGGGTAATAGGTACAGTCAGTTCTGCTATACTTCTTATTTTGAAAATGCAAATTTCATTTCTAACTCCGTTGATATATTAGGGAACAATTTGGGCATGACGTGAATTTCACATTTGCTTATGTGTGATTTTGTCTGCAAGAGACATGAGGTGAAACCAGAAAGCTATGCCAGGCTGAACTAACCCTTGTATGAATAGACAAAACACACCCGTGCAGATACCTCAAACATCTCCCAGATACCTCAGTTCACCCCATGTACTCAGCCACTCCCATCCATAGCTGGTATGAGAACATTTGGTTTTTAATAATCCTCCTTCCATCGCTTCACAGTAACTCGAAAGCTACAGCCTTTCCAACGCCCACTTCTACAAGTAAACTTCAGATCTTTCTCAAGATAAAGTGCCACATTGTAGCATTTATATATATTGTAACCATTTAATATGGGTAAAACTGTGCCACCATTTCTATTAGGTTTCTTTTTAAACTGGAACTGACAAAAGTTTTTTATTTTATTTTATTTTATTTTATTTTATTTATTTATTTTGTGAGGAAGATCAGCCCTGAGCTAACATCCATGCCAATCCTCCTCTTTTTGCTGAGGAAGACTGGCCCTGGGCTAACATCTGTGCCCATCTTCCTCCACTTTATATGGGACGCCCCCACAGCATGGCCTGACAAGCGGTGCATCGGTACATGCCCGGGGTGTGTGAACCTGGGCCGCCAGCAGTGGAGCGCACGCACTTAACCGCTACGCCAGGGGGCCGGCCCCTGACAAAGTTTTTAATGTTGTGCACCATCCTCCATTTTCCCCATAAGCCTTGTGGTTTGTTATTGCATTGTTTTGCCTAGTGTGGTGATTTTTAGGAAGGCACATGTTGCGTTAAAGCAGAACTGACTGTGTGTGTTTATTTCATTTGACATAAAATTAATACTAATACTCTGCCTAGGTGTATATGTCATTAGTACTGCTTTCTCTGGAGTCCAAGATCCCAAGACTGTGAATTCTGTAACTAAAAGCTTACCAGGAAAATACTGGTTATTTGCACATGGTAATTAAATAAATTTCTGCATAGTATTTATTGTAAGTAAATGGAAATTATAAGATTAGTATAGAAATGGGTGCTAATGTTCTAGAGCTATGTGCTCCAATGTAGTAGCTACTAGCCACACATGGCTATTTAAATGTAAACTAAGTCACACTAGCCATGTCTCAAGTGTTCAACAGCCAGGGTGATTAGTGGCTGCTGTATTGTACAGCATAGATACAGACACTTCCGTATCACAGAAAGTTTTAATGGACAGACTGATTTAGAGAAATTGAAAAACATTTCTAATCCATAGGAAGCTTTTCAATTAGAAACTCTTCTAATCAAATCCATTTGTAGTAAATCAACATTTTAAGGTATAATTCTCCAATTTTTAAAAGTTTTTCCTAAGGTCATATAAATCAGTTTTTCAGAATTCCATGTCACATAGGTTTGAGAATATATAGACCCACTTTCTGTGGATCTACATCTATGAAACCCTGTGAACCCGAATTCATATAACTCCTTAAAATTAAGGAAAACGTATGCTGATTGGGGTATATCCTGTTACTTAGTACTGTATTTGAAATAAAAATGTAAGTGTAAATATATGATTTTCTGCAGGTTTGCAGACCGAGGACACAGTGTAGTTGGTGTAGAAATCAGTGAACTTGCAATACGGGAATTTTTTACAGAGCAGAATCTTTCTTATTCAGAAGAACCAATCATGGAAATTCCCGGAGCCAAAGTATTCAAGGTTTGTTTTGTTTTTGGTAAATAATTATTTCCATATGCCCACAAAAAAGGTTTTTCTCAGCATGAGTAAGTAGGGATACTATGCAAGTGTCAGATAATCCCCTTTTATCCCATAGACTCACCTAGACATTATGTAGTGTAAGGAACTAGGGGTTAAAAAGATAGATGGAAGATAGCTGATAGCTAGATATGGACAGATAAATATATAAGCGCTGCGAGGTCTCAAAGCCCACCTGTACTCATGTTTTTGGTTTGGATTTGGTTGATTATTTGTTTATAAACAGGCATTTCTGAGAACGTGTCTTGTGCCACACCCTGCATAAGACTTTGAAGAGATAAAAACACAATCGCTGCCCTAAAGAATCTCTTAGCTTAGGAGAGAAAGGAAACACAGAGAAAGCTGTTTGTCATACACGGAGCTAAGTGCAATGACATAGGATATTAAGGGAACAGACGGGAGAGTTACTTAACTCAGCCTGGAGGTTCCTGAAGCATGGTGACAGATAGGCTGGGACAGGCAGGGAGTCAGGTCCGCGGTCTTAGATGCCCTGTGAAGCTGGTACTTCATCCTGCACAGTAGGGTTTTAAGTGGGAACATGACATGGCCAGATTTTCTTTGGAGACAAACCACCCTTGTGGCCTCAAGGGAAGTAAATTTGAAGAGAAGTAGCCAGCCTCCTGGTAGAGACTAGATAAGAGGCTGTGAGCGGTGTTCCGGGAAAGAGATCTTAAAGGCCTGCACTAGGACAGTGATAGGGGCGTTTAGCGAAATGGGTAGATTAAAGCAATGTTTAGGATGTCAGACTGAGAGAATTAGTGATTAATTGAGTGGGGCTCAAGGGGGCGATGAGTTCACAATTCCAGCTCAGATGACTGGTTGGATGGTAGAGAATAAAGGAGAAGCCACTTGAAGAGGAGAGAGTTTTGTTCTGGAGATGATGCGTTTAAGAGACCTGTGGCATGGCGAAGGTGTAGCTGGTAAATGGTTTTATATCTCTGAAGCACAGGGCAGCATTTGGGCTGGAAATGATAGATTTGGAAGTTGTCTTCGTTCTATGACCAGAATGATCCAGTAGAACTGCTCCACCAGCTTGGGGTAATAATGTGGAAATAATGACCACCCAAATGAGGACACGCAGAGGCTATATATTCAGAGGGAGTCAGTCACTTGCGTTTGGCACAGGCTCAAAGGCAGGCCAGGGAGCGGGAAAGCTGAATTGATAGTGAAAAATGCTAAGGCTTCTGGTGTGCCCTGATTGGAGGCTGTTGGCATGGGGAAGCTGGGGGCAGGCTAACTAGAGGGGAGCATCCTATGTAATTGGTTTGGGAAGTGTATTTGGCTCTCTCTGGTTGGTCTTGAATTGGAAGAGGGGAAGGGTGGTAAAAATTAGGGAAGCTGGCAGTTATTGACCACAGCATCACTGCATAGGCTGTGGTTTGGCTTCCCAGGCTGGTTGCTGCAGAGGTTACGGGTCCAAGACATGGATGGTCTGGCCATTGTCTGTTTGCACCTTCAGTCTCTCACCAACTACTCTCTTTTCTAAATATTGAAATTAATTGCTCAGGTCAGTAGGAGGGTTAATAGCACTTTATTTTACAGCTTCCTCCCACCCTGTTAATCATCTAAGAATCCCAGGAGTTGACTGAGTCCAAAGAGCTCGTCCTGGGCCGGCCCCGTGGCTTAGCGGTTAAGTGCGCGAGCTCCGCAACTGGCAGCCCAGGTTCGGATCCCGGGCAGGCACCGACGCACCGCTTCTCCGGCCATGCTGAGGCCGCGTCCCACATACAGCAACTAGAAGGATGTGCAACTATGACATACAACTATCTACTGGGGCTTTGGGGGGGAAAAAGAAAAAGGAGGAAGATTGGCCATAGATGTTAGCTCAGAGCCGGTCTTCCTCAGCAAAAAAGAGGAGGATTAGCACGGATGTTAGCTCAGGGCTGATCCTCCTCACAAAAAAAACAAAAACAAAAACAGAAGAGCTCGTCCTGCTTCCAGACTCCTCTCGGAGCAATGGTTCTCAGCCCTGGTGGCAAATTTGAAATCATCTGTGGATCTTTTAAAATTCCCAATGCTAAGGTCTCACCCCAGGCTAATTAAATCAGAATCTCCAGGGGTGGGGCCTGGTGTCAGTACTGGTTAACTCCCTAGTGATTCCAGTCTGCAGCCAAAGTTAGGATTCACTGGCTGTTCTCCCTGCCCCCAGGCCCACCCCTCTCTGGGCTGACTCCCACAGGGCTTCCAGACTGGTCTTCAAAGACCCTCCTTCTGCTATTTGTAAACCTCCGTTGGTGCCTCATTTCAGAATAAAATCCAACAGTTTCATGTCCTGATGGACCTTGGCTGCCTTGCGCTTCACCCCTATCCCCACCCCCTAGACTTCTCACATCCCCTGGACATGACAGAGTCTGTGTCACATTACTCCCCCTGGACTGCACCCCCAGCCCACCCCCCTGTAATGTTAGCAGATGCATCCAGACACCCTTTCAGAGGCTGCCTCTTGCTTGGCCTTTCTTGGTGCTCCCAGGCAGTTCCCTGCTTGGTCCTCTGTGTTCCCATAGTTCTCAGACACACAACCAGAACAGTACAGGCCATTCCGTATTGTAATGTTTCTCTGTACCCACGCTTCTCTGCTCCACCAGGCTGTCCTCACTGTGGTTAGAGACTGTGTCAAGTTCATATCCACTGTCTAGAACCCGGGATAGTCCTGTCTACGAGATGCTCCAGAAATAAATGCTCATTAGCCGACGAATGAAAGAGAGAAAAGGGAGGATCAGCACATGTACTTGTCATGAATAACTTTTAGAATATCAGACCTTTCTATTTCAGCCTGCCTGGTGATTGACCTGTGTACTTATCTTTAGCAGAGTCAAAATCTCAGGACTTGAAACATTGCTAAAATTTAATAAGCTCTGAAATGAATAATAGGTGACTGATCTTCAGGGTTAATTTCTCTATGATTTTCCTCTTTGAGTTGATCGAGAAGAACCCCATACAGGTTTAAAAAAAACAATGCTGTTAAAAAATTATTTTCAGGAAAATTCTATTTTCCATTAAAAAATTATTTGCAGTTAAATTATGTTCTTTATGTTTAATTATGCATTCTCTCCACTCCCTTTGCTTTGCCCCTCTTTTCTTTCCTTGACCATTCAGGTATCTCCTAATTCCATAGAATTTTTTTTCTTGACTTTTTTGTTACAGAGCTCCTCGGGGAACATTTCATTGTACTGTTGCAACCTTTTTGATCTTCCCAGGTAAGACTGAATACTATCTCTGCACTTTTAAATACTTGAGTGCTTGCTAGGCAGTGCTGTGGTGGGGTGTAGGGTCTTTTCATCACTCCTGTCTACTTACAGTAGCATCCACAGAGCATTGAGTCTATTCTGCAATTATTTTTACTACAGCCTACATGTCTGCACACTTGATATCTTTGTCCTTGGATAGCTTCCAAACTATAGAAAACATTATTATGACCCTAGGCAGGTAGGGAAAAGGAAGGGGGAGCAAGAGAGCATCTTGCACCTCACGCCTGGCTCTGTAACAGAAATGAATTTCAAGGTGCAGAGGGAGGCGAGATCTTCTCTCCAGAAAGTCCCCGATAGCTGTTCCAGAGGCTGGGAGCAGAGTTGTCACAAGCTGTCCTTTGTTCCCCCTTTGTGCTCCCAAGTCAGAGCAGAAGGAGGAGGCTGCTGCCACCAGCTCCTAAAACTAGGAGGAGATGGACAGCTCCTCACACCCTCATCAGCATATCCCCATGGACTCGGAGGAAGAATGGATATGAGGTCTCAATTCCTGACAACTGGTGAAGTCCCAGCATGTGCCATGGGAACATTGTTCATCTTGCTAAGGATTTTATTTTTCTTATATAAAATGTTGTATTTTTTCTTTCTGGTAGAACAAATATTGGCAAATTTGACAGGATTTGGGATAGAGGAGCATTAGTTGCTGTTAATCCAGGTGATCACAAACGGTTAGTAATTTGGTTTCTTTAATTATGCTGGTTTTTCTTTTTTTTTTTAGCCTTCTTATTTAGTATGCTGTACTTTTTCTGGGTTCTAGAAAATTAGCTAGACTTTACTAATTTGAAAAAGCTTATTGTATTTGGAATTAGAAGACCTAAATCCAATACCGTCTTTGTCTAAAAATAATAGGATTTGGCTATAGAGGCCTGGGTACAAGGCTTGTGGCTCCATCACTTCTAAGCTGTGTTGTCTTGATCAATGTACCTAACTTCTCTAAGTTTCAGTTTACTCTTCTGCAACATTGTAGTATGTCTACTAATACCACCATCACCACCTGCACTAATGTTACCAGGTAACACTTCTTGGGCATTTGCCATGTGGCAGGCATTGTCTGAAATACTATATGTAGACCAACACATTTAATCCAAAAACAACCCTATGGAGTATGTGCTGTCATTATTCCCATTTTACAGATGAGGAAACTAAGGTCAAAGAGATTAAGTTACTTATCCAAAGTTAAGCAGCCGGTACATGACAGAATTGGGATTCAAACCCAGGGAGTTTGGCCTCAAAGTCCACGCTCATGATCCCCACATTAGACTACCTCAAAGGGTTTTCACGGGAATTAAAAGAAATGACATGTGTGGAAAGTGCCTTGTCAACTCTAAACAACTGTTTAAATATTAGGTACTATTGCATTAAGTCTTTTGTTATTCATGTTTTTGGTGACTATGCTTATTGTACCTAGCCTTATGAGAAAAGAAAATTAAAATATGAGAAAGCATAGTGAGTAAGATGTGACCACACCTATGTACTTTCCAATTCAAATATCATTCACATACTTACTTGGATACAGCACGTAAATATTGAATTATTTAGTTGTACGGAGGCACGCTCTCAACACGTGGCAAAAAAGGTTGGAATCTACATCAGTGAAATAAAATTTTTGTTTTTAAAAATTGTTTCTTGAGTAACAAACTCATGAAACCTAATCTTTTTTAATTCAACCATGCCACATCTGCTTAATATATGTTTTCCTTTGGTGATAATTCACGCTCCTGTTTGCCCTTCTCTTTCTGTCACCACTCCTCCTTATCTCTTTTCTGGAGCCCTCACCTTCCTCACATGCCTGAAAGCCGTCATTCCCTAAGGGCCCATCCTCAGCCTTTTGCTTTTCTCTTTTATACTAGTTCCTTTAATGATCGCTTCAGTTCTCCCAGTACTTTCATTCACTTACTCAACAAATACGTAAGTTCCTACTGTGTTCTAAATACTATGCCAGATATTGGGGAAATAACTGAATAAATCATACACGGCATTTGCCCTTATCATTTTTATATTTCCAGCTCTGTTCTTTCTCCCAAACATCCACATCACATTTCCAGCATCTGCTTTGCATTTCCATTATGACATCAGTTTCCTTTATCAGCTCCAAGTGTCACCTGAGACCTCTTTGTCTCCATAAAACGCCACATTTGTCAACTCAACTCCGTTCTGCTGAACCTCTAACTTTGTAGGTGTTTCCCACTCCCTAAAGATGTTCATCCTCTTCTTTGAGGTTAGTCCCTCCGGGGCTTTGGTTTGCGTGGTCAGAATCCACAAGGCAGTGGGGAGCATAGTGGAAGTCACAGAGCTCACTCTGAGGGCAGCCCATGCACACCGTGTTCATTTATTTCCCTACCAGCTGGCATAGCACATATTTAGCATATAGTCGGAGCTTAATAAATATTTGTTGAATGAATGAATGAATGAATGAATGAAGCAAACTGGAATCAGAGCAAGGGAGATACACTGTTTCCTGCCGGCCACCACCACTTCTCCTGTCCTACATATAGAGGCCATCTTGGTAGCCTTGGAGCTGTTTAATTCATGGCTAGCAAAGAGTAGTGAGGCCCCTTCTGGAACTCTTATTTAGGGAATCCAGTTCTAGCTTGGCGCAAGACCCTATGTCCTCCCTAGTTTTCCCACTTTCTTTCCTCCCCTCCCCGCCATTTGTGGGGGGGGTCACAGCCCAACCATACCTGAGAACATGTTGGCCTTTGTGACCAAAATAACTACTTATTTAGGGCCAATAGACAACTAAATTACTTTATCTTAGCTCTGGTACTTAGTTCGTTAGTACTTTATCTCAGCCCTCTCATTAGTACTGAGTGTCTTTCTGCTTGGATTGCACGTGGGCAAGCACTGATCTGTTTTCTGCTGTGACTCTCCAGTCTCTTGTCTAACATAAATCAGTGGGGCACACCTCTCTCATTTTTCTGAATTTTTTGAAACTGGTTGAGAGACAAAGTCCACATTCCAAGAGGAATGAAGTCTGTCAGTCCTAGGAAACTCTGCTAAAGTAGTCCAACTGATCACCTTCACCTAGACAGCAAGTTCCTTCTTCCTCCTTAAGAACAAGAATCAGAAAGTTAAGAAGTAAAGGTTTCTGCGCAGAAGTTTGCTTTGGTCTGGTTCCTTCGCTTGCAAGAAAGAGCGACTCACTCAGGCCAGCTCTGTTTGGGGAGTTTATGTCGAAGATACTGAAGGGAATAAGGATAGCTAACACCGAGCACTTACTGTGTACCAGGCAATGTTCTGAGCACTTTATGTGCATTAACTCACTGAATTCTCACAACAACCTGAGAGTTGCTTATTAGTCTCATCCCTATTTTACAGATGAGTAAACTGAGGCACGAAGAGGTTAAGCATTTGTCAAGCTTACGTAGCCAGTAAGTGGAGGAGCTGGGGTTTGAGCTTAGGCATCTTGCACAGTCCGTACTCCGAATCCCCACACTGTGCAGCCTCCGAAATTTTCGTAGAGCTCTGGACAGGGATCACAGTGCCAAGAGCCAAGGCTCCTCCCTGAGAGCTGCACAGCCTGTCCATCTCTGTCTGCCGTCTCTCGTGGCCTCTCTACCTCCCTGTATGCGTCTCCTCTGTCCACCTGCCCTGACCATTCAGCTTCCTCTGCTTACTGCATGTCTGCTTCCACGTATCTGACTCGCCCACTGCACTCGGCCTCCTCAGCTCCAGCCACCACACTGCACAACAGCTCCAGCTTTCGGCACCATGGCCACAGCTAACTAGCAACTCCTCTGTGGGTCTCCTAATTCAGTGTCCCAGGGGAGTCATCTGACTGCTCCAACTCATCATTCTGTACTAGGCCCAACCCTGGCTCCTGGGGCCCTGTTAGGGTCAGGTCCCCACTCTGAACCAATCAGACACAGCTGGGAAGTGGTGTCGCCTGCTGGTGAAGGCACCTACTACAAGGGACTGTTCCCAGAGCACTCACGGTTTATGCCATACTTGCAGAACTTTAATTTTCCTACTACCTTGAATTTTTGCCTGTTTGTTAGTTTTGTCTCTCTCCAACTAAGTCGAGGAAGGGGATTGTGTTTTGTACCTCTTGCGTATGCCCCCGGAGAGGACCCAGTCACCGAGGCTGTTTGTTAAACCGTGGCATCCCAGCCCTACAGCAGACCTGCTGAATCAGCCTGGGGATGGAGCTCAAGCATCTTTTCTTTCATCGGCTGCTCTGGTGATTTTGATACCCAGCCTGATCTAGGAACCACTGCCCCGGAGCACGTGGAGGCATGGCAGTCTTTCGGGAAGGATGTGCTCCAAGTCAACAGGCCGCTGAGTATCACGTCAGCTGGAAGAGCCTCTGCTCATCTTTGTGTGATGTCTTCTGGTCTAATGGGCTCTGGAAGCAGGCCTCATTTTGATTCCCATCTTTACTCTTTCCCAGCTTAGGCAGGTGACATAATTTGCTGAACCCATTTTTGGCTTTTAGAATGAGAATCAACTTTATGGGGTTGTTAGGAGAATTAAACTCAGTAATATAGATGAAAGTAAATGCTAGTTTCCCTCCCTGCCTCTTGCCCCCTGCGGGCTTTGCCTTTGTAGAGAAATGTAACACATCCTTTTTTGTGCTCTTTTTAGCTATGCGGATGTAATGCTGTCCCTGAGGAGAAAAGGGTTTCACTACCTCTTGGTTGTGGTTTCTTATGACCCAACTAAACATATAGGTAAAAGTCTTTTTGTTTTTCTTTTTCCAGTTGCTTCGTTTCCTGATTTAATTCTGTGACACAGATAGCATTATTTTCTCCTAATTTATCTCATAGGAAGCATACTGCTTATAAACGTGAAGATAAGTCTATTTTTGGATAATGGAAACTATCAACATTTTTTTCTCTTCCCACTCTGTACATGTTTGTCTCATATTCCATTCCTGTTTTGTTTACCATTCACAGCTCAAAGTACAAAAGAGAGGGAGAAATGGATGGTCCTAATATAAAAGAGAAATCTCATCAGCCCTGGCTTAGGAGGAAGAGAGATTTGGTTATCTTGATCTGGACATAGCCTATTTATGTCATCCATGGTGGTGGGGATATGTTGTGCAGATGCCTATGAATACACACACAAACATAGCCTCATAAGATGATAGGGTGAGAAGTGGACATGGCGGGTAGGAGGTGTGCAAGAAAATCTCTAAATTACATATTGCTGTTATTTAATTTATGAAATTTTATAATTTATTAATTGCATTCTTTTATAACTCTCTTTGTTTTGAATTTGTGAAAGTGATGTTTTCTCCTGGACTCATTTTGATATGTTTGAACATTAAAGTTTAATCTTTTTTTTGAGGAAGATTGGCCCTGAGCTAACGTCTGTTGCCAATCTTCCTCTTTTTCTTTTTTCTCCCTAAAGCCCCAGTACATAGTTGTGTATCCTAGTTGTAGGTCCTTCTAGTTCTTCTATGTGGGACGCTGCCTCAGCATGGCTTGATGAGCGGTGAGTAGGTCCACGCCCAGGATCCGAACCGGTGAACCCCAGGCCGCCAAAGCGGAATGCACGAATTTAACCGCTATGCTACCAGGCCAGCCCCTAAAGTTTAACCTTTGTCACGGCTGGACTTATTTTTGGGAAGGAATGAAAACCAAATGCATAGACTTTTAATTTGTAAAAATCCCTTTTTGATTTTTAATCGAGCTTTTTAAAAAGTGCTGTCTTTTATAAATATTTACATATGTTAGTATTTTTTTCTGGTTGAATAAATCAGATCTTAAAAACTCATTAAAAGATGAGGCCTAGGGTCCATAATTAAGTCTGGGACAATTAGGTGGAAATAGAAATTAATGGAGACAGATGTCAGCTTTGATAATCTGATTTAAATTCCATTCCTGAACAGGAGGCTTAAGGAAGAGCCTGTGGGAAGAAAACACAGCAGGCCTTGTCTGGGAGTAGAGGCTCAGAACACTGCTCTAGAAAGGGGCAGAAGCTAAGGTTCCTTTAAAGTAAATGGCCTGCAGCAAAGTGGGGGAAGTATATAGAATGTGGGTAAGTGCAGGAGTCGTAGAAAATCAATACCCCAGAAGATGAAGGAAACCCAAGGGAATTTGTTAATGAACTCCATTCTGATTTCAGTGTTCCCAAATCTGATGGCTGGCTCAGCCATCTCATCTAAGCTAGAGATGGGCACCTCACATTGTCAATCCCCTCATAAGCCAGTCTTTGGTATGAGATGTGCAGAAGAACCTGTCATGTCCTCACCTATTTAGTTAATTAAGTTGTGTGTGGAATAAGTCTACCTAGGTCATTGGAAATAAGCCGAGAAGTGGGCACTGAGAATTTATTGCTCTTTCGAATTGGATCTATAGAAATTATTCTTCACTATGTTTCTCTTTTACCTAGGCCCACCATTTTTTGTTCCAGATGCTGAAATTAAAAGACTATTTGGTAAGTTACGGACATGTGCTGTAACTTTTTACATAAAGTCAACAGTTAACTGTTTTGAGTTATTAGCAAACTATTAGTATCTAGAAGTATATAAAATTTAAAAGTCAGAAACCATTTTATTGAAGACTGTTTTATCCTAGAAAAGGGACCAATCTCTGTAATATGCCTTTTTAGCTAAGTGGTATGCCTATTTTTTTTATTGTGGTAACATTGGTTTCTAACATTATATAAGTTTCAGGTGTACATCATTATATGTCGATTTCTGTGTAGATTACATCATGTCACCACCCAAAGACTAATTACAATCCATCAGCATACACATGTGCCTAATCACCCCTTAAAGACATCTGAATTCTTCTAGAGAGGTGGTATGTTTATTTTAGCTCTTAGGAGTAATAAGTGATAATAACAATTCAGAGTTCAGAAAATTTGCCCTCAGCATTTCCCTATATTCATTAAAAAGAAAAGAAAAATCTTCAGTACACACTGTTTTAAAAATTATTTGATGTATTTTTAGAAGAACCCTTGATTGCATTCTTCATAATGTTTTATGCATTCTTCATAACGTTTTAACTTATTACCCTTTCTTTTCAGGTTCCGTATGCAATATTCATTGTCTTGAGCAAGTTGATGCTTTTGAAGAACGACATAAAAGTTGGGGAATTGACTACATGGTTGAAAAGTTATATCTATTTACAGAAAAGTAAATGAGACCTAAATAAAAGCAAGTAATATCAACATATTTTTGAGCAACTGAAAATTATGCCAAGGCATGAAAATATGATGGATGACTTTTGAAAAAAATTGTTGACAAATCATATCACAGATACTTTGCTCAAAAATATGTGTAACTTTTTAGGAAAAAACACATACTAAAATGTTAAAGATTATACCTATGTGTTTTACTTACAGATTGCAATAACTTTTTACAATCAGCACGTATTACTCGTATAATTAAAAAATAAAACAGAAATGTAATGTATATAACTGAAAGAAATGTAACAGACATAGAAATATTGACATTCTTTATGAAATTTAGAATCATTTAAGGAATTTTCATTTTCTTTCAAGGTAAAAGATAGTAGTCCAAGAAATTGCTATAAACCCTCATATTATACTTAATCCTAGCACCCTTTTTAACATTTTTTCCTCCTACTTAATTTTATATGTAACAGAATCAAGAAAAATTTAAAAATTAAATAAACTATCCTATATGGAACAAAATATTTTTCCCAAACTGTAAAAATAAATTAAAAAAAAAAAGATCTTTTCTGAATTGGGCAGTTTTTTGTTTCTATTAATTTAATCTTGTTTAAATGGTAAAGTCTTATGAAGTGTAATGTACTTAGGGCTGGATTCATGACTTCGTTATGAGAGTTTAGATTCAAAACTTCTCAGTTTTTCATTAACAATCACATTTTGTTAAATCAGACATTCCTCTCTAACTGCACTACCTAATACCTGAATGATTTAGATTATTTAGCTCATGTTAATGGGATGGTGTGTATTATAAAAAATAAGTTACTTAATTGTGTGCTGGATTACAGAGCGTTGATGGGGAAGTTGAATAGACCTCTTTAATATTGATGAAAGCTATTGATTCTCTCCCCAGAAATATGTCATAAGCAGAATACTGTGAAACTTCCTTAGAGTTCGGACCCCCATTTAGGAGCAGCTGTCCTAGAAGCTCCCTGTCACTGGTCTTATTCTAATATACTTGTAAGGCTATTAATTTGGAGCCTCTTCCGGCTCATGATGGTTCTTGCATCTCTGAGACCTACCTCTGGTCCATAGTGTGGTCTTCCAGAAGCCATGACTACCTGACTCCACCTCTGTAGCCATTTGAATGGACCAAGAATAGACAACTGACCTGAGCTGGACCAATGCAATTCTCTTCAGAGGGTTTTAGAATTGGGGCAGGGAAAGCAAGTTAGCCACTTAAAGTGGGTGAAACTGTAACATGTGAGGAGCTGTAGGGCAGCCACGCTCCACTGTACAGATCTGAGAAACAGAGGATGCTGATCTGCAGAAAGAGAAGCAGAGAGAGAGCTGGAGAGAGCACCAGGTGTTCTGGGTTTCCGTTTTCATCCTTCCTGAAGCCCAGCTGCACTGGAGAGAACACCTGTGGTCTTATCTCTTTACTGGCTAGAGTTAGTTTCTGTAACTTGCATCTAAAGAATTAAATGAGATATCCTTATGTAGTCGATCTTTACATATTATGTGTCCTCATTGGGGGAGTACTGACCTTTTCAAAAGTCTCATGATGGAAGATATACTACATATACATTATTTTATTTTATTTTTTTGCTGAGGAAGATTAGCTCTGAGCTAACATCCACTGCCAATCTTCTTTTTTTTTTTTTTGGTGAGGAAGATTGGCCCTGAGCTATCATCTGTTGCCAATCCTCCTCGTTTTGCTGAGGAAGATTGGCCCTGAGCTAACATCTGTGCCCATCTTCCTCCATTTTATGTGGGACGCCTGCCACAGTATGGCTTAATAAGCCTTGCATATGTCTGCACCTGCGATCTGAACCTGCGAACCCCAGGCCACTGAAGCAGAGCGCATGAACTTAACCACTACACCACCGAGCCGCACCCCAATCTTCCTCTTTTTGTATGTGAGCTGCCACCACAGCATAGACACTGACAGACGAGTGGTATAGGTCTGCACCCAGGAACCTAACCCAGGCTGCTGAAGTGGAGTGCGCTCAACTTAACCACTAGGCCACCAGGGTTGGCCCTACATATACATTATTTTAGAGCAATTGAATTATTTTCAGAATTTCCCAAAAATGCCTTTTATTTAATTTTGTAATTGAAATAAGAGATTACCTGAGCCTCTGTGCCCTGCACACAGTGATTTAGGAAATGCCTTGCCCTGCCTAAACAGCAGGCATGTCTGCACCAGCATATAGACTCTTAATGTTTTCAGTGGCAGGACGAAACGAGAAAAGTACGTCATAGTCTACTGGGGTGAATGTGGAAGGAAAAACACAAAGGAATACAACCAAAACTTTAACACCTACCTCTGAGGAGCTGGAGATTTGGTTCTCTAAAGGGTTAATGGTATGGGGACCACAGAAGGTGGCCTGAAAGATGTACCTTGTCAGAGATACTACCAGGTGAAAGGGGATTGAGAGATACTATCAGATGAAAGGGGATTCCTGGGCAGAAGAATGAAATGACAAATAGAATCCTCACCCACAGAAAAGTTAGTTCAAATAATTTTTCTCATTCACAACTGTAGTGCATACCTCTCATTGTTTTATTTTAATGAATGTGTGATACAGATGTGTGTGTATGCATATATATACACAAATATATATCACACACTCTTTAAAGATCTTTCCTTTAAAAAAAAAGATTTCTACTGACCACTTTTAAAAAATCAAAATTGTCTTTAATCCTTACTGCTCTGACTTTCTGTCACTTCTTATCTGATATGCTTTATTTCTTATAAACATTACATTAGAAATTCACTGAAGAGGCTAAGTTGATGGGGCTAGGATAGAATTCCATATGAATACGTTAAGCACAGTCACTCTGCTGGTTGGTGGCAAATAATCATGGTCCAAGTTTATTTATTATGTGTAGCTTTAAGGTGTGAATATATGTCTAAAAATCTGTGATCCCTACCGGTAGGTATTAATAGAAATTTGTTTCTATATTGGTGTTAACTCTCAATAGCAGATAGAAGGAGAATAATCAAGGGAAGTATTTAGAAATAAAATATACCATAAAATATTAACATTTATTTATATTTAAATAATAATAAAATAATACTTCATCATTGAAAATTTGGGAAGTATAGGAAATTCTAAGAAAGAAAAACAAAAGCAGCCAAATCCTATAACTAGAGATAATTACTGCTAAAAGGATGATGTGTTTTCATATCTTTTTTGTCTGTTCACACACATGTATGTTGTTGCAAAGTTGCGATCATATTATGGATAGAGTATTGGATCTCTACTATCTTCTCTAGTATTTCATCAGCGCTTTCTCATGTCACTAAATATTTTTTTAAAAACAAGACTTTTTAATAGCTGCATAATGTTCTTTCATATGGCAGTACCATAATTATGTAATCTTTCCCTGTTATTAGAGTCATTCAGCAAATGTAAGTACTCTTGAATGTGCTAGGAGATGAGGACTGACTGATGATTGAAGAGAGTCCTGCTCTAAGGAATCTTAGGTTCTAAAGGCAGAGACCAAATGTTAAATATTACTATATAGTGTGGTAAGACTGCATTAGGGGTACACGAGGGTCAGCAAATAAGTGGCGACTTAAACCATGAGAAGTGAGGAGACATTGCTCAGGGAAAGCAGGTGGGAAGAGAAGAGAAAAAGACCAAAAATGGCTCCCTGAGGAACACTCAAATTTGAGAAACATTAAAATCTCCAGATTCCCATTTCCAACCATACAGCTCCAGCTCATTTTTCTGTATGTGCTCAAAACATTCAAGGCTAAACCACTCTTCCCTTCCCCACCCAATCCCTCACCCTTGAGAAACCAAGCACATGGGGCTGAGTTATGAAATTAGATGGTAGTCAGAGGGGACGCTGGAAGATAGGATGCCCCTGGGGGAGAACAAACCTGGAGACGTCACCAGAGCCCAGTCAGAGTCTAAGGAACCACAACGGGCAATAAGGAAATTCGCCTGGTGAGGAGGTGCCCTGAGGCTGGCCTGAAACTCAAAACTGACCAACCCAGGAGGGATTCGGGTTGGAAAGGGAGCAAGTTTTTGCTCTTGTGGGCTCCTAAGCCCATACTAAAGCGCCTACTGTTTTTGATCCCTTTTAAAAGGTTGCGCCTCTCCTCCCTGATTGAGAAGACTCTATTCTATGTGGCTTGCTCCTCTGCCTTTCTCCGATGTCTTTTCAGGTATGGTCTGGGATGTAACTGTGTCGTTGGACGTGTTCTGGGATTGCACATATTGGCGTATCTCGCCACACTTGCAAAACCAGGAGCCCACCTGCCTAAGTACTACCTCCCTCCCCAGATTCCTCAGCCTGCCCTCCTGTGCTCCCTCTTCTCACTGTACCCATCCTGAGCTGGGTCTCCATTTTCCCTCCTCTGCCATGCGGTACTTTGCACATAGGTCTGCCACTGACCACAAGTTCTGTTCTGCAAGCCCTTTGCCCCCACAACCCTCAGGGCTCGTTCTAGGCGGAAGCAGGAAGACGTGGGCCTGCTATTCTAGGACCCTGTAAGTGAGGAGTATTGGAGAAAGTACAGAGGAATTATAGAGACTCGGCCATGGGGGAGGAAAGATTCATCACAGGAAACTCAAAATGTTAGAGTTAGACTCAGGGCATTTCTTTTATTGATCAGTGTGTGTATATAGGTAATGAAGATTATACAAGGTATTCGAGAAACCTATCAGCATTGACTCTAGAAATAAGCAAAATGCTTAGCATGATTCCTGGATAAATGCTACTTTCCTAACAACGCTTCCTATAAATACTAGAAAATCATCAAAGAAAAGGTATAACATTTAGGTTTGCTGCCTGAAAGGAGTATCCTTTTAAGCATTCATTCATTCATTCATTCATCCATTTAAGAAATATTTGTTGGGCTCCTACTGTGTATCAGGCATGTGCCAGGCCCTGGAGATATGGTATCAAACAAAACCAGACGTGGTTCCTGCTCTCCTGGAACTTAGTTTATCTCTTCAGAGACAGGAGCAAAAGAAAGAGGAATGCAGATAAAAACAATCTTATGATTGGATATTGGGGCT